CTTTATTTGTAGTGATGCTTCCTAAGGCCCACTTGACTTCGCACTCCAGGATGTCTGGCTCTAGGTGAGTGATCACACTATCGTGGTTATGTGGGTCATGATCTTTTTTTGTATAGCTCTTCTGTATATTCTTGCCACCTCGTCTTAATATCTTCTGCTTCTGTTAGGTCCATACCATTTCTGTCCTTTATTGTGCTCATCTTTCCATGAAATGTTTCCTTGGTATCTCTAATTTTCTTGAAGAGATCGATAGTCTTTCCCATTCCATTGTTTTCCTCTATTTCTTTGCATTGATCGCTGAGGAAGTCTTTCTTATCTCTCCTGGCTATTCTTTAGAACTCTGCATTCAAATGGGTATACATTTCCTTTTCTCCTTTACCTTTAGCTTCTCTTCTTTTCTCAGCTATCTGTAAGGTCTCATCAGACAACCATTTTGCCTTTTTGCATTTCTTTTTCTTGGGGAAGTTCTTCATCACTGCCTCCTGTACAATGTCACGAACCTCCGTCCATAGTTCTTCAGGCACTCTGTCTATCAGATCTAATCCCTTGAATCTATTTGTCACTTCCACTGTCTAATCATAAGGGATTTGATTTAGGTCATACCTGAATGGTCTAGTGGTTTTCCCTACTTTCTTCAATTTAAGCCTGAATTTGGCAATAAGGAGTTCATGATCTGAGTCACAGTCAGCTCCTAGTCTTGTTTTTGCTGACTGTATAGAGCCTCTCCATCTGAGGCTGCAAAAAATATAATCAATCTGATTTCAGTGTTGACCATCTGGTGATGTCCATGTGTAGAGTTGTCTCTTGTGTTGTTGGAAGAGGGTGTTTGCAACCTAAGTGCCCATTAATACATGACTGGGTTAAGAAGATGAAGGGGTTTTCAGGTGGCGTTAGTGGTAAAAAAAAAACAAACCCACCTGCCAATGCAGGAGATGTAAGAGATGTGGGTTTGATGCCTGGGTCGGGAAGATCCCCTGGAGGAGGGCATAGCAATCCACTCCAGTATTGTTGACTAGAGAATCCCAAGGACCGAAGAGCCTGGCAGTCTATGGTCCACAGGGTCACAAAGAGTTGGACACGACTGAAGTGACTCAGCACACAACATGTATAAGCACGTATATATGTGTGTATATATACACATAAATATATATATATATATACACACACCATGAAATACTACTCATCCATGAAAAGAATGAAATATTCTCATTTGTAGCAACATGGATGGACCTAGAGAATATTATACTTAGTGAAGTCAAGAGAAAGACAAATATCATATGATATCACTGATACGTGGAATCTAAAAATAGCACAAGTGAATCTATATACAAAACAAAACAGACTCAGAGACATAGGAAAAACAAAAAACATATGGTTACCAAGGGGAGAGAGAGAGAGGGACAAATTAAGAGTGTGGGATTAATAGATACAAACTGTTATACATAAAATAGATATTCAATAAGGATTTATGCCGTATAGCACAGAGAACTATATCAATATATTTCTTTTTCTGATATAATGAGATTTTTGTTGTTAGTCGCTCAGTCATGTCCAACTCTTTGTGACCCATGTGACCCATGAGTCCATCAGACTCCTCTGTCCATGGGATTTTTCTAGGCAAGAATACTGAAGTGGGTTGCCATTTCCTTCTCCAGGGGATCTTCCCGACCCAGGGATCGAACCCAGGTCTCCCACATTGCAGGCAGGCTCTTTACCGTCTAAGCCACCAGGGAAGCCCCATATTCAATATCTTATGATAGCCTACAATGGAACACAATCTGAAAGAATAACTGAATCACTTTCTGTACACCTGAAATTCACACAATATTGTATGTCAACTATACCTCAATTAAAAAGATAAATCCATTTTAAACATGCTCGCCTAGATGCTCAATGAAAAATACAGCACATGTCTTTCCCACTAAGCATCTATTCCACATAGGCTCTGAGGTGCATGACCTTGGTCCCACCAATGTTTTCCAAGTCACGCATGCATACTGGTAACAAGTGGGCAGCTGAGGACTAGCTCAGGCTGCTGGGAGACTGGCGGAGGGACCAACAACCTCAGGTGCGGGACTGCATTAGCCGACTCAGGTGAGCAGTTATCACCGAATTCCTCCCCTCGGTTTAGGCTAGAGCTGTTGATCCTTGCTCTGTCCTGGATTTCTCTCCTTTACCACGAGCAGTAGGCTTACACAGCTGTGTTGCTGGCAGGGCTCAACAAAGCTTCCTTCCCTTTGAAGGCAAGGCATCCACCTTGATCAGGAAGGAGAAAGAATTCCAACCCCCAGAGCCAAAAGGTGACGCTGAAGGGATTCCGGGTCTTTTAGCTCCTGGATTCATGAATAGGGGCCAAGTTGCAAACTGCAGACATGACACCAAGTTAGGTTTTGTTTTGTGTGTGTGATCAAGTGTGGTTTATTCCAGAAATATAAGAATTTAAGTGTTAATTTTTAAAAATGGTTTTTCATTAATACCAGTTTATGACTCACCAAATTATAATATTGACAAACGAAAGAATGTTTTTATATTTGCCAATCAGATAATTGTTCCATGAGACTATACATTTTAAAAATCCATTTTGACACAAAAGAGAAAACTGAAAATTTTTCTGTACAGAATTTTTTTGAGTCTGCTGGATGAGAACCAGCTTGCTGAACTGTGTCCACCCCTTCTTTGCCGAGTTGGTTTTAAAACTACACTCTCTGTCTCATTTCTAAGTTGTCTTCACTGAAACCTGAATGCTTTTTCTGTGGGTTGGATGGTGAACATTTGTTTCTTCTCCTCTGGGGAGAACAGTTTGACTCTCTCCCAGAGAAAAGCATTGTCTAAAGTAGGCTGTGGGCAACTTAGAAAGTGACCACAAGGGTCTCGTCTAAAAGTAAAAATAGAGAAACACCACTGAAGCCCAGAGTCAAAGTTCTGAATCCTAGCAGGCTCTGCCCAGATGGTTAATATTTGATTTTCTCTGTGCTTTACTGCTGGTCCTTATGGAGGTTCCACATCTGCTCAAGAGTTAAAAACAGGTGTCCTCCCCAGCCATAAACAAGATTTTCAGAGGCAATTCTAGGACCCCTGTGTGGGCTCCGTGTAACAAAAACACAACTCCGAACACTATGAAACTCTAGTCTGAAGGCTAGACATATCAAAAAATAAGGATCTCCAAGGAGCAAAGACTCTTGAGAATGTTGCTTTAGCAAGAGATGAATGAGGTCATGAAAAGCAAAGAGAAGCATCGTATTCGGCACATACTTCGTGATGAGCATGACTCCCATCTGTCTTCACGTGGAGCTGGTTTACATGGAAAGTGTAACTGACTAAAAATAAAGTTCCAAATCCAAGTTTTTCTGCAGTAGCAGCACAGCCTCCCCTTCAAATCACATGTCATTTCTGACATAAAAAAAGCAGTCGTGGAGAACACAAGAGGCCTCTTTCTCCAAAAGTGTGTAGGCTCCGATCCTACAATGTCATCACTCAGCTTGCAGTCCAGAGCCACGTGGAAATTTCTCCCAGCACTTTCTATTGCACCTCCTGACCTCTTGGTCCTCAACTCACAGGTCCTATGTGGTGGGCAGAACAAAGACATCTCCATCCGAGTCTCCAGAACCTGTGACTACACGGGGAAGGGGACGAAGGTGCCCCATCAGCTGAGCCTAACATAAGGAGATTATTCTGGAGAACTGGACCCAATGTAATCACAAGTATCCTTAACAGTGGAAGAGAGAGGGTTGGAGGTGTGATGAGGGAAGCCATGTCAGAAAGATGCTACTTGCATGTGTTTAAAGATGGAGGAAGAAGGCTGCAAGCCAAGGAATGGGTTGGCCTCCAGGAGCTGGGAGAAACGGGAGTTTCTGGAAAGGAATGCCAATGATCCCTGAATTTTATTAGTTCACTGAAGTTATGTTGGACTTCTGACTTCTAGAACTGTAAGACAGTAAATCTCTGTCATTTTAAGCCAGTGAATATGTAATAATTTGGTACACCAGCAAAACACAACTAATACTCACTGTCAGGAAGCAGAGTCCTTCAAGAACCCTCCTGGAATTCTAGGACAGGCAGTGCCTGGGTTTCTTTGGCAGTAAAACCTAATCATTTTTTTTTTTTTTTCTAGTTAAACTCCAGCATCCAGTGCTAATCCTTAGAAAGGATGATAGAAAATGTCAAGGCATGTTCTAAATTTGGGGATGGGGGATGGAGTGGGGAGGTGGAGGTGCATCTGGAGAAGTGCATCTTTTTTTCCTGCTCATTTTTACTGCAGAGGAAGGTAGCATTAGCATTATTGTTAGAAATGCAATCCCATTCAAATGGACTTGCATTAGTGCAATTTTACAATCTGCCTTTTCAGGTTCCCTGTGCTTTATTCTTCAAAACATGCCTGTATGCTCTGAATATTTGGATAATCTTCTATGATGCTCTAAATCTAGAGAATTTTAGCTCACAAAACATGCAGATTTTTGTACTTTGCCCTCAACACCATGCAGGTGACATTTGATAATATTTAACACTATTTGCAGTTGTAACAGCAAACAGTCCTGAATTAGAAAGTGAAGAATTTATTCAATAATTAGAATTCTGGGACTTGGAATAGCTGATAGAAAGATATTAATAGATTTTACATGCAGTTGTGCACAGGTTTTGCTGTCATTGGTATGTCAGTTTTGCTTTAAATGGAGGGAAAAAATAGCAAGAGATCCTCCGAGTAAGGTAATTTATTACCTTTCACGTACAGATCTTCAGGACCCCTTTGGAGTGAGGACATAACTAAATTCCATGCTTAGAGATGAAATAGGATGTGTCAAGCCCCGTCTCAACCCTCTTACTCCAAATAATGAGGGAATCTGACTTCTCTACCAAGAAACAATGCCATCAGACAAGAAGAAGAGCAGTTAAGAACCCCCCGTATCTGGTGTTTTAGTGTGATCACACCAGGACCACATGCCAGAGGAGGGATGCTCGTTCGACCCATAGAATTAAAGCAAAAATAGAACAGGAATACTCACCCTCATATCTCCGTTCACAGTTTTCGGCGTGTGGTTGAATGCGTGGGCAGGATCCTTGTTGTACACTTTGAGAAGGGATCTGTCCTGAATGTTCCTGGAATCAAAAACATCAATAACTATGGCAGATGAAAGGAGCCTTATTGTGGCCATTTCCTTCTCCTCTACTCATAAGAATTAGGTAAAAGATATCTACAGACAGTCCAGCCGTTGTGCGCAATCAACCAGACAAAAAGTTCTTTTACCGTAAAAACAGGCAAAGATAAATAAGGCAAAGGAAAAAAATGACTTCAGCTTTTCTTTCCTTTTTTCCCCCTATTCCTCAGGAAAGTATTACTCTTTCTCCGTAGCTCTCCACCCATAAATATCGGGTAGCATAAACCTTCTTTCAAGATTCGGAGCAAGGAAAGCTAACACTTCATGAAACAATAAAGTTCCTATATTTACAATCTGTTCAAAGGGATTTGGTTAATATTTAAATATTTAATTGTTTACTTTGCCCAGACACCTGGTTTTCTGCTTATCTCATGAATGGATGCAAACGAAAAATGCTTTTTTCCTCCGAACACCTATAGCCAGGGAAAGAAAAGGTATTTGCAGTCCAGAAAAAAAGTACCATAAAGATCAAAACTAGTACCTTTATGATTTTTTTTCCCTGCCATAATGGATTTTTAAAAGATACTGTTCCTCATACAAGTTGGATTCCAGAAAAAGCAGTGGGTAAATTCTTCCGCTGGTTTGTCTCTCCCTTGGAATCCAACATTTAGAAACTCTAGAGTCAATCAGACTGCAGCAAAGGACAGAACCACATTTGCTAACAGCCTACCTTAAAATTATTCAAGAGCTTATGAATATCTACGACGTCCTTCGCCCTCCATCTTCAGTTTTCATCAGCAGGAGAGGCCCCCCCGGGCATGTTCAGCCCCGTCTACACGGTGATGCCTGCCAGGGCTGGCACGGTGAGCTTAGGGAATCTGGTGCAGGAAGACACATTCCTTTCCTCCAGGTGCAGCCACACGTATTGTGGGCCGATCGCAATCACTGGGATGATTGGCTTGTGTTTTTGTTTTCAATGAACTGGAGGATCCCTGGACTAGTCTTGCTTCCTTCCATCAAATATCTGTCAGTGTTTGCTTTTAAGCGGTGACTAGCCCCAGCTTGTACCATCGCTCCACATTTCAAACAGCTCATTAGAAGTCTGCTTAAGGGGAGGAGTGTGGTCCTTGTTACTGGAAGAGACTCAGTGACTAGGAAGGGAAGAACTAGCAGAGGGAAAGGGTGTGGGGATTCATTGCAGGAACTCACCCCGTGGACGGGGGGTCAAATTCCCAAGTGACGATGTGAAGAAACTGAAAACCTTACTTAAGCCATGAGAAAAAAAAATTCATGTGGTTCTGAAGGTATTTAAAACACAGGAGGTTGGTTTATGATTAATTTAGAAACATGTTCATCCAAGATGAACCAACAGAAAAGGCCCAGCTTGCGTTTGCCATGGCAACATTTACAACACAGAATTTCAACCTAAACTCTCGGTAGCATTTCCCCAAGGAAAATATGGACAACTCAACACCATGATGAAAGCTCCAAATGTTTAACAAATATACCCTCACTTCAAAAATACTGAGCGTGAATGGAATTTGTCTCTGGGTTTAGGATATTAAAGCCAGTGTCTTCAGGTAAAATCTACAGGCTACATTTTTTTTTCCCTTGCTGGGAGAGGGAGCAGGCAAGGTTCTATTTAATGCTGATGGTGAAAGTTTATTCTACCATTCAAATAAAATATACTTGAGGGATTTTATGTAAAAAAAGCAAAGAATAATAATTCTTTGAAAGAACATACATGTTATCATCTTGCCTAAATAGTATATTCATCACCAAATAAAGACATTTAAATATTTTTAGGTCCACTTAAATATTTTTAGATCCATTTTCATATGTAAATAAAAACTCTGAAAAGTAAAATTATAGACAAATTTATACCAATGACGTTCCCCTTACACATTTTCAATGAGACTTTTTAAAAATCAGGCTATCAGTACCACAGCCTAAGAATCAACCAGAACATCACTTTTACAGATGGAAACAAACTGAAACTATTAGCATTTAATGCGATCACTTCTTTCAAGTGCTGCTTTGTTTCATCAGCTTAATTTGCATCAAGAAGGACCATTTCAGTTTGGAAGTTTTGGGGGACCTTTTCCTCTTTGTCTTCCCTCCCATTTCTCTTTTTGTGACTACATCACAATACCCCCAAAGAATGTGCAAAAGAAGTCTTAGCAGTCATACTTTGAGGCTTGGGAAAGAAACTCATGTCTAGGAAATCATGACTTGTACTATAAAAATTCTTGCATGAGCTGCAAGACAGTGGGGTACAACTGTTTACAATAATCTCATTAGCCTTGAACTCCACAATCAAAAGTGGCTTTGCGTAGTTTCATGTGTACTTATTATTACCCTTCCCCTCAATTTCTCGAACTGCAAAAATTCAAGAAGATGGTTTTAAAGCAGCACATCCATGTTAAAAAAAAAAAAAAACAAAAAACAACTACATGAGATTATCTTATTGCAAGTATCAGTTCAGTTCAGTCACTCAGTCATGTCCGACTCTTTGTGACCCCATGGACTGCAGAACGCCAGGCTTCCCTGTCCATCATCAACTCCCAGAGCTTACTTAAACTCATGTCCATCGAGTCAGTGATGCCATCCAACCATCTCACCCTCTGTCGTCCCCTTCCCCTCCCACCTTCAATCTTTCCCAGCATCAGGGTCTTTTCCAATGATCAGTTCTTTACATCAGGTGGGCAAAGTATTTGAACTTCAGTATATTGGAGTATATACTGCAAATATACTCTCTAAATATTGCGTGATTACTTCATGGTTAAGATCATGCTTTGTACACTAAGGATATTTTTTGATGACAGCTTGATCAATAATTTATGTCAAAAAACAAACATGAATTTCCTGATACTCATGAATATTTAAACATACTTTAAAAAACAGAAAGGTTGGGCAACAGACATAACACCTATACCTTAGGGGCATGTGTCAAACGTTGAAAGCTCTAAATTACTCATACACCTTTGTACAAGCTGAAATATGTCATTTCTGATCACTGTTAGAAATTTATATGCACTAGAGGCATATTTTTAAAAAGTAGTTCTTATTAATTCCATGATGAAGAAACAGGACAGTCTGCTATCCCCACAAAGAAGGGACCCAGAGAAACCAACGTGGGGCCCAGATGAGTTGAGAGGAGAACATCCTGAGGGAATAAACAATTTCTGATCAAGAATGTGGACAGTCAGGTTTGGGGCTGGGCTTAGACATTAATTGGCTGCATGATCTTGAATAAGTATTAACTCTTAAGCATCTGAGTTTCTGGTCTCATCAAATGAAAGGGCTGGGTGAATCACTCAATCTTTTTCTCAGCTCTAAAATGTTTAACAGCTATACTAGCAACCGCTCATTTGGGTTGACCTCAGTCCTGATTCTCAGGCTTGTTTGGCAAGAAGGGCTCAGATGGTCCCTTCTTTTCACGACACAGCATTATTGGCACTGATAAAGTGCTTCCCTTTCTGTGCCAGTGGCCACAGTAGGAATCCCTTTAGCCTCCTTTTAAAGTACATCTTATTATATCAGGAGTGGACTTCCTGGTGGCTCAGATGGTAAAGAATCTGCCTGCACTGCAAGAGACCCAGGCTTGATCCCTGGGTTTGGGAAGATCCCCTGGAGAAGAGAATGGCTACCCATTCCAATGTTGTCGCCTGGAAAATTCCACGGACAGAGGAGCCTGGTGGTCCAGGAGTCACAAAGAGCTGGACATGACTGGCAGACTAACACTTTCACTTTGCACTGTTACGCTAGGAGCCCTGGAGAAAGCCCACATGGCAAGTGTGATCCTTTAGCAAAGGCCAACTATTTAAAAAACAAGAAAAGGAGGAGGCTTCTTGGTCTCCTTTCTTGTGGACAATAGCATTGCGTCCACTGCTTCTATTCTAACTCATTCATGTAAATTATGGCCCAGTGGGATCATTACCTAAAATGTCCACAGCCTCTGTCTATGAGAATGAGATACCTTGAAAAGGAGTTGGTTAAGTTCCACCTGTAGGTATAACCTTCTACTCATATGATCTTCCTGGGCGATTGCTTCCCTAACTCTTACAATAAACAATGGACTGGCTCAATTTTTCCATTTTTTTCAGATATAACCTGCAAACATCTGTGTGGGAGAAGTCTGTCCTCACCTCTGTAAACCAAACTTTGTCAATGAATTCTAGAAAACCAGATAGTGGATTCACACCTGGATAAGGTAAACCTGCTCATTAAGACAACAGCCGTGCTGTCTTCACTGGGACACGGAGAGATGGGGACTTGGTACCAATGGTCAGTGTAAGATGGTGGACACATGTGACGTCACCGCTTACCTGACATCATTTAGTTCATAATAGACATTTCTGCTTTCATCTTTGATGTAAATGGCGACACTGGGCGACTCCAGCATTTTCATGGTGAGCTGCTGTGGAAAGGCACTTACGAAGAGAGCACGGATTGTGTCTGCACTTGTAATTTCGTTCGGCATCCTGAGCTGCTTGGTTTCATCTCCGTACTGGAGATAAAGAACTCCTGCACACAAGATGGACACAGTTATCAGTCACAGCTCAAGACTCACATGACACACAGCACAAGATAAGCCACTTCCGTCCTACCGAAGGCAGGAATGTTCCAGGTGCGCTTGAAAAAAACCATGTCACAAGAGACGTAATCTTAGAATTTTCAAGAAACGCACTCTCTGGTTATGATGTAAATACCTTATTCTTTAGAGTCAAGGCAGGTGTTACAGAGGCTCATTTTTAACTATTTTAAAAACCAAAGGACAAGAAACTAACCCTTGGTGGCCTAAAGCAAAACACAATATTTAATTCCCTTGAAAGGTGTATTTAGGAATCTGATCCCATTGGGTGAATTTTTTTCCCCAAGTCTTTAATGAGGGACACAATCATGATAGCAACAGGCAAGTGACATAAAGTCTTTTTCTTTTAAGATTTGTTTTGAAGTGGACCTATTTTAAAGTCTTTATTGAATTTGTTACAATACTACTTCTGTTTTATGTGTTGGTTTTTTGTCCTCCAGGCATGTGGGATCTTAGCTTCTGGACCATGGATCAAACCCACACCCCCTGCCTCGAAAGGTTAAGTCTTAACCACTGGATCACCAGGGGAATCCCTAGATTAAGTCTTTATAGTCCATCCAGAAATGTGCTGTAAGTGGAAATGCTACAATATTTCTGGGGCTTTACTACATATTGAATGTTTCTACCACAGAAAATATCTACATGAGTCTGGTGTCCTAATGTGTCGGAAAGAAAATGGAAAAATATCAGTTACACCAGCACAAGCACAGGATGATAGCATCTTAGAGTTCTGGGGGCTTGCGGCTCCTGTGAACCATGCCTCCCAGCCATCGTGCCCCTGTGGAGCGCAGTCCCCTCCTCCTGGAGTCCAGGCTTGGCCACGGGACTCGCTTTGGTAAATGAGATGCTACCAAGTGTGATGCAAAACGGAGGCTCGGCACATGTTTGCACATGAGAGCTTGTCTTCTTGTTGAGCATGCCTGTCTTGTCTGCATCCTCACAGAACCAAACTTCTGTGGACTCTAACTGAGCCACGCTGGGAGGCCACATGAAGAAAAAAGTGGGAGCCCTGACTGACGCCCCTCACCAGGCACCATTCTCCAGCCAGGACCACCGGCCAGTTATGTGGGTGTGCCACATTGAGGGGGGAACCCTTGGCCCCAGGAGAGCCCTGCCAGAACAGAAACAAGACCCTCCCTGGAAACCCTGCCCAAATGGCAGAATCACAAGCAAACACACAACTGTCTTCAGGCGCAGAACTCTGCGTAATTGCAGGGCTGGAGAAGCTCAGGAAATGAGGCACTAGATCCTCCTGAAGGTAGGAATGCAGAGTGCCTGGAAAGCATGAGGGCTGACTGAATTTTTTTAACGGTGCAGCACGCTTTCCCTGGTGGCTCAGCGGTAAAGAATCCTCCTGCCAATGCAAGAGATGCAGGTTGAATCCCTGAGTCAGGAAGATACCCTGGAGAAGGAAATGGCAACCCACTCCAGTATTCTTGCCTGGGAAATTCCATGGACAGAAGAGCCTGGCGGGCTATAGTCCATGGGGTTGCAAAGAATCGGACACGACTTTGTGAGTATACAACAATAGCAACAAGTTTCCCCATCTCCTTTGCATCCCATTCAGCCAAGCAACTCCACAGATCCACAGCAGAACCTGAAAGGGGAGGAGCCAATGGACTGGATTCTGGCTCACTAGACATAGGGGAAGATGTGTGAGGTCCCCTCTGTCAGAGTTCTGGCAAAGGGCTGACATTTCTGTCAGGAAACTGGAGGAAGCCCTGGAGGAAAGCTGACTGTCCTCTGAGAGGACACCAACAGAGTTTTGAGCAAGATAAGATTCTGATTCTGTCTGGTCACCCCATCATGAAGCAGCCCAGGCCACACACAAGAGCTTCCAGTGAGTACGACCATGCTTCGCTTATACATGAACAGACCAGCAAGTATTACCAGGCATTTCATAAAGCCTCTTTCATGTTAGAAACAAACAGAAAACAGAAACTCAGAAGCAATGAGACAGTCTGAGAAAGGGGGAACATTTGGAGAGCAACAGCGAGCTCTGGGAACCATGAGAACAGAAAGGACAAATTCAGTGGCGAAGACAAAGTTGACGAAATCTCAAAAAGGGCACCAAAATAGACTAAGGAGTGGGAAAAGGGTGAGAACCAATAAAAAAAGAGAAAATTACCTCAGAGCCTCTGAATTCCTAATAATGGGGACTTGGGTAAGGAGGTCAGAAAAAACCGAGCAGTTTTTCAAAGGTATTATAAGAATTTTTTTTTGTCTCCTCAAACCGAAGACATGAGGTTGCAGACTGAACAGGTTCAGGAGGGAGGGACTTCCCAGGTGGTCCTGTGGTTAAGACTTGGAGCTTCTGATAAAGAGGGGCATGGGTTCGATTCCCGGTCAAGGAACTAAGATCCTGCATGCTGCAAGGCGTGACCACAAAAAAAAAAAAAAGTTCGTGAAATGCTAAAGGCACTCAGAATTGGCACTGAGACATTCCAGATGGCAGGGGGGAGAAACAGAGGTTCCTACAAGTTCCCAGAGGGTGGGGAGGAAAGTCACAAAGGAAGAAGCGGGAGTTAGAAGGGCATTCGCTTTCTCAGCAGCAGCCCAGAAACCAAAGAGAATGGAGAAATGGTCTCGAAAATCCAGGAGAAATATTTTCTATCTAGGTCTATATTTATCCAAACCATCAATCAGTTCTTTCATTCAAGTCAGCTTCCTAGCCATGCTTTCCCTCACCACCTTCTCCAAAATTTCAGCACCCTTTCTGCCTCATATTTCATATCCCAACTCCTGCTTCATTTCTGTTCCTGAGAGCTTTTCACTATTTACTCTAACCTATATATTCACAATTACTAGTGTTTATTGTCAAAAATGGAAGCTTCATGGGGCTGGGGATTTTTTTGTTGTTGTTAATTTTTGGCTGTGCTGGGTCTTCATTGCTGTGCCTGAGGTTTCTCTGGTTGAGGCGAGTGGGGGCTACAGTCTAGTTAAGGTAGGTAGGCTTCTCGTTGTGGTGGCTTCTCTCGTTTCGGAGCACAGGCTCTGAGCACATGGTCTTCAGTAATTAAGGCACATGAGCTTAGCTGTTCCCTGGCATGTGGGATCTTCCCAGACCAGGAATGGAACCTGTGTACCTGGCATTGGCAGGTGGATTCTTCTCCACTGTACTAGAAGGGAAGTGCAGGAACTTTTTTTATTTAATAAAATAGAAGCTTCATGAGACTAGATATTTTTTAAAAAATAATTCCTCTGGTCTTTTTTTTATTTGTTTACTTATTGGCCATTCTGCACAACTTACAAGATCCTAGCTCCCTGACCAGGGATTGAACCTGCATCCTTGGCAATGTAAGTGCAGAATCCCAACCACTGGACCACCAGGGAAGTCCCACCAGGGATTTTTTTTTTTTAATTGCATTTTTAAAAACAGGTTTTGGGGTTTTTCTGGTCAAGCTGGGCAGCATGTGGGATGTTAGTTCCCCAACCAGGGATTGAACCTGGGCCCCCTGCATTGGAAGCACAGAACCTTAACCACTGGACCACCTGGGAAGTCCCAGGGATTCTTTCTAAGATGTTTTTTGTTGTTGTTGTTTGCCTTGGTATCCTTTGACTTGTGATACTACTTGTGATGTAGTAGGTTCTTAACACGTGTTTGTTGAATGAATGAATGGTTTATTAATATAGGTCATCCAAAAGGAATGTTCATTTTGGGATCTATTCCGGCTTCAAGAGCTTTTGCAACATGATGTAGGAATCTCATTCCTGATTTGGACACACATGAGACCCACATTCTGAAGTGTCCATCTCCTTGATCAGAGTAGTCCTTTTATACAAGCATAAGCAGCTCACTCTCTCTTCTCTATCACTGTTTTGATCCTCAGTTTCTTCAAGGAGTTAGTTTTCCAGAACTTCCACACTGCTACACATTTTGCAGAGTACAGAAAAAACCCTTTCAAGCCTGTCTGACCATAGATTGTGCAACGTTTCTGCCCCAAACAGGAGATGCGGTGACTCTCCATGTGATTGCTAATGTCATATCCGAAGGCCAGAACCACGTTTGAGGTGTAGGCCGCAACCATGCCTGGGCGGGGCCCCTGTTCAAGGACCACTCGTGGCCTTCCTACAGTCAGATATCACGGCCTCATTCCCCCCAGAAGGGCCTGGTTTTCATTCCCACATCTGCATTCTGTACGTGTGTGTGCTTGAAATAGAATTTGCAGGCTGCTCTGAGGGAAGGAAAAAAAAAATTGGGCCTGAACTATGGTTACCTCAGGGTCTGGCTAGTGCGGCTGCCAGCTGGGTACACAAGTCCAGTTACAGATCATGAAAATCCAGAGGAGATGGAAAAGATGCCTTTATGAACAGAGGAGAGCAGTCTTTTTACACTTGGTTCAGCCTGCCTTCTCAGTTCACGAAAGGTATTTAGAAACGCTTAAACTCAGAAGGAGCTCTCGTAATCTATGGTGGCGTTTTGTTGGCACGGTGGTGGGATTCAGCACGCCCTGGCATTCTGCCCTCACTCTGAGTGAGGGCTGGCTGCTCCAGATTTAGAGGAAGTCTGAAGGACTTTGGATGAGAAGTTCCCTTTTTATGAAGAAGGAAAGAGGACCAGGGAAATAATTTATTTATAGGATGTCTGCTCTGTGTCAGAAACAGTACCCATGTAATCTCACAGAATCAGCATCTCTGAAGAGATTGGGGTGATGCCCCCATTTCTCAGAAAGGGAGAAGGAAGTTCAGAAGGTCCAGGTAGCTCGCCTCAAGTTACAGGTAGTAAAATGGCTTAACTAACTTATATATCCCATTTGATCAAGCCACAAAAGCCACGATCTCTCCCTGGAAGCACACAGCCTCTGAAATTTTGCATTAAGCTACATTCATCTCCTCCAACTGTCCTCTTGGACCATCATAGCTATCCTCACACTTTTAGCCCTACCATCTGCTGGAAGATGTGCAAGTATGATGGGGGCAGCTTGGAAGAAAG